AAAAAAAAAAAAAGAAATGAAAAAATACAATTAAATGAATAATTATTTAATAAAAAACATGTGTGTTGTATGGAGTAGCTAAGTTCTGGGACATTTTGTTGGGTAGGAACAAGCACCTAACACAAAGGCAGAGCAGGCGGGGGGCAGGCCTCACCCACAGCTGTCCTGGCGTGGTGGCTCTGCCTCCCTCAGAGGACACGACAGGACTGTCTGAGGCCTGTCCCACCAGGGCTCCCTCTTTCAAGGCTTGGCCCATCTGATTCTGACTGGGGTGTGGGCACCTGGCGGGCCCCAGAGGCAGACTGAGGACGAGGCGGGATAAACACAGCCCCAGGTTTCTGGAAGAGCCCTGTGGGTGTGACGGGTGGGACTTGTGCCACATATGAGGGGTGCCCTTTCACAGCTGATGGCTCGAATTTGTAGGTATATTTCAGCATCATTGAATACTAGTTGCCCTAAACATTGTAACTATAATACATTCTTAACTTAAAAAAATTAGTTTTAAAAAATACTTAACACCTGTTTGTTTATCTATTTACTTGTTGTGATTTGGGGGCTGTTAGGTCCAGGACTTGAACCATGGTCAGCTATGTGGAAGTCTAGCACCTCAAACACCATGCCTCTTGCAGGCTCCAAAAAAAATGATCAGGCCAGTAGGTGGCACGGTGGTTAAAGTGTTGTACTAACACATGGCCGACTTGGTGGCTTGAAAATCACACCAGGTGAAGTGTGTGCATGCCCCAAATCCCAACAGAACAGAGGGGAAAGGTCTGTGGTGTGGCCACTGCACACCCTGGGGCATCTTCCTCACTTCCTCTCTCTGTCTCTGATGAGAGCATGCACACTATGGCAAAAACCTAAAAATACTACGAATAAAATAAAAAATATTGCCAGAGGGCACATGTGCTCACCAGAGAAAGCATCTCCAGTGGGGAATGGTCACACTGCGATCCCTTTTCCCCAGCTCCTCCACCCTGCTGGGTCTCTGGGCACGCACATACCGGGCCTGTTTGAAGGGCGAAGCCCCAACCCCAGCTGCCATGAGTCTAACTCCCCATGCTGCGTCATGGGCTGGCCACATTCTCCGCTTGTCAGATTGCCGGTCACGGTCATGCCACTTCCTGTCAAGGGCAGGCATCGTGCAGTCATGGAGGTCCATCTTTGTCCCCGTTGACGGGGAGACAGAGCTACCCCACACTGCAGTTCTGTGCCAGCTGCAAATGCTGCCACGGGTTCCTGTCCTTTCTTCCCCACTCCCATTTTCAGGTTTTTGCTATAGGGCATGTGCGCTTGCTGGAGAGAGACAGAGAGGAAAGTGAGGGACCCCCCCATTGGGTACATGCTCCCGTGATGTTTTCAAGCTGCCCTGTCCAGGACTCGAACCACGAAGTTGGTAATGTGGGATCCAGCTACCTTAACCTTCACGCCACCTGCTGGCTCTGTGTTCTTTATTCCTTCCTAAAGATCCGAGTGGGACCAGCAGTTAGCATAATGGCTATGTCGCTGGACTCCCACGTAGTCAACCGCGGTTCAAGTCCCGGACCCATGGCTTCAACTCACACCGGTCGCGTTTGCGTGCATGCCCAAGATCCCGAGAGGAGAATGGAGGGGAAGGGATTGCGGCGTGGCCCCCCGCCCGGGGGGGGTGATTTCTCGCTTTCTGTCTGTCTCTCTCTGTCTGCCTGGCAAGCGCACGCGCCCTATAGCAAAAAAACTCTCAAAAAAAAAAAAAAAATCTGAGTTTTCATCTGGTTTAATTTCCTGAGTTTGAAGAGCTTCCATTAACATTTTTTTAGAGGTTTTTACTATAGGGCGCATGCTCTCACCAGAGAGAGACAGAAAGTGAGAAATCACCCCCCGGGGGATGGCCACACTGCAATCCCTTCTCCATTCTTCTCTGGGATCTTGGGCATGCATACACATGCGCCTGGCATGAGTTTAAGCTACTGGATCCAGGACTCAAACTGTGGTCGGCTACATGAGAGTCCAGCGACATAGCCATTACGCCAACTGCTGGTATCAGTTAGCAATTCTTGTGCAGATTATTGCTAGCAACATAATCTTTTCTTTTTTAATCTAAAAGTCTTCCTTTTTTTTGTATTCATTCTTTAATTTTGATTTTGTTTTTTAATTTCCTACAGGGTGCATGCTCTTCCCAGAGAGAGGCGAAGAGACGGAAAGTGAGAAAGAACAACCCGGGGGATGACCAGGCTTCAGTCCCTTCTCCTCTAGGGACTGTGGGCACGCACACATGCCTGTTGTGATCTTCAGCCACCAGGACTGGGACTTGAACTGTGCTGTCAGTCATGTGAGATCCAGCCACCTTAATCATCACACCACTGGCTGGCCCCTTCTTCTGTGTAAATTTGCCAGAGGGCATGTGTGCTTGTCGGAGAGAGGAGTGGGCCCCGCCTGGCATAGGCACACCACACAGCACTCCCCCACTCCTCTTCCCTGCTGGGGTCCTGGGCACACAGGCCTGTTGTTTCTAGCTGCCGAATCTGGGATTCCAGCTGCACCACCGGTCCTGCAAAATGGGGTTCCTTAGCCACCAGGCCGAAGCCGGCCCAGCCTTGCAGTTTTTGTTACTTTAGATTTGTCTGCTACTGTGGGAAGGCTGAGGGGCCACACTCCTCCCAGCTGGGCGAGGCACCTGTCCCTGGAGGGCTGGAGGCCTCTGACCTCTGTAAGAGGGGCAGCTGGTGCCCGCCCACCTCGCCGCCCCTCGGAGTCCAGTCCCAGGGTGCCCAGTCCTGTAAGCTTTGCAGCCTGAACATGGGCCCATGACCCCCTTCCTACCTGTGGGGAGGCTCACAGTATAGTGGGGTGGGCTGGGGACCATACCGGGGTGCTGGAGAAGTCCAACCCGGTGGGGCTCCAGGACCCGTCTGAGCCCCTTGACCTTTGAGCATCGCTTCTGGTCGGTTCAGTGAGTTGGCAAGGCCGCGACTGTACGCCCCCCGACCTTGGAACAAGCTTGGGTCACTTAGCATGTTGGCAAGGCTGCTTGCTATTCGCTCCGGGACAGTGATAGCCTTGCTGGGAAGTGACCCCCCTCTGACTCCCCGATATA